TGAGAATAGCAAGAAGAAGGGCCCGAAGGCCAGTGAGGTGAATGTTGCTAGAAATGGTCTGATGATTCATACTTTTCTCTTTCCATTACTCCAGAGATTAACTATGTGGAAGTATCAAATTGGATGATGGATTCTAGGGCTACTTATCATATGAATCTCCGGAGAGATTGGTTTGCATCTTTTGAGAAGCTCAATGGGGATGCGGTGATCATGGGAAATAATCAGTCCTGTGGTATTTGTAGGATATGTATTGTCAGGATTCGGTGAACGATGAAGTTGTCAGAGAGTTGACTGAAGTAAGGTTTGTTCCACAACTGAAGAAAAATCTTATTTATGTTGGAGCTTTAGAGTCAAAATGATTCAAGGTAATTTTAGAGAACCATGTAGCTAAAATTACTAAAGGATCATTGGTAATGATGAAAGGGGTCCGCAATAGAAATATCTATTATCTGAAGGGAAGTACCAAGATTGGCCAGGTAGCTTCAGCAGTTTTAGAGACGGATACTAGCAGACTTTGGTATTTCAGACTTGGACATACAGGGCAAAAGTCACTGCAGGTGTTGTGTAAGCAGGAATTATTGAAAGGAGTCAAGAATAGAAAGTTTGAATTTTGTGAGCACTGTATTTTTGGCAAGAAGACTAAAGTGAAGTGAAGTTCGAAACAGTCATTCATAAAGCAAATAACATCTTGGACTACGTGCACACTGATGTATGGGGTCCCACCAAGACAGCATAACTTGGTGAGTGATATTGGTTTGTCACTTTTGTAGATGATTATTCTAGACATTGTTGGGTATATACCATGAAACAAAAAAGTGAAGTCCTAGGGATATTTGTGGAGTGGAAAAGAAAATAGGAACTGTAGGCAGGGAGAAAGATCAAAAAGTTGAGATCCAACAATGGTGGTGAATATACATCAGATCTCTTTTTAGCAGCTATATTGAGATGAGAGCATAGAGAGACACTTCACAGTTAGGCATACACAACAGCAGAATGGAGTGACGGAGAGGTTAAATCAGACTTTACTGGAGAAGACCTGATGTTTGTTATCGCAAAGTGGTTTATAAAATATCTTTTGGGCTGAGGCACTTACATATATGAACCACCTTATTAATAGGTTGTCTTCATCAGTGATAGAGGAGAAGACCCCTATGGAGATGTGATCAGGAGTACCAACACATGACTATGATCAGCTCAAGATTTTTGGGTGCCCTGCATTTTATCATGTCAAATCTGATAAGTTGGAACCTCGATCTAAAAAGACCATCTTTATGGGTTTCAAGCATGGTGTGAAAGGATATAAGCTTTGGGATCCTGTTGATAAGAAAATTGTGGTGAGTAGAGACGTCACATTTGATGAGGCTTCGCTCTTGAAGCCTCCCAGCTCTCATCAGGTGGAGAACACCCTGATAGCAGAGATATCGCAGATGGTAGATATTGATGTAACTCCACGGAGTCCAGATAGGACTGTATCTAATAGAGTACCGATTGAGGTGATGCCACGCGAGCACAGTGATGAGTTGGAGGATATAGGTACAACAGAACGGAATAGGGACTGACAGCTCAGGTTCAGGATTCTATAGCAGTTCAGAGACCCAGGAGAGACATACGATTGCCAGCACGGTATACTGATACAATGGTTGCTTATGCACTTCCGGTGGAGAGTGTCGATGAGATAGTTTCTACTACTTTCAGAGAGGCTAAACAGTGTTCAAAGGCTGATATATGATAGGATTCTATACATGAAGAGATGGAATCTCTTCACTAGAATAACACATGGGAGCTTGTCGAGCTTCCAAAAGGGCGGAAGGCGATTGGTTGCAAATGGGTGTATACCAAAAAGTAGGGCATTCAAGGCACTCCTGTGATATTTAAAGCTAGATTAGTAGTGAAGGGTTATGCACAGGAAGAAGGAATTGACTATAATGAGATCTTCTCTCCAGTTGTAAAGCATTCTTCTATTCGGATCTTACTAGCTTTGGTGGCGTAGTATAGATTAGAATTGGATCAATTTGGAGGTAAATATAGTATTTCTTCATGGTGATCTTAATGAAGAAATTTATATGACTCAGCTATTAGGGTTTCAAGCTGCAAGAAAGAAAAAGTTGGTGTGTAGACTAAAAAAGTCACTATACGGGTTGAAGCAATCTCCAAGATAATGGTATAGGTGATTCGATAGATTTATGCTCAGCAAGTCATACATAAGGAGCCAGTTTGATCCTTGCGTGTACTATCGCAAGCTTCATGGAGGTGCGTACATTTATTTGTTGTTTTATGTAGATGACATGTTAGTTGCTTCCATTTCTAGATCCGCCATAGATAAATTAAAGATACAGCTTTCAAGCGAGTTTGAAATGAAGGATTTGGGTGAAGCAAAGTGCATTTTGGTGATGGAGATCGATAGAGATAGAGATAATGGTAGAATTTGTTTAACACATGTGGCTTATTTGAAAAAGATGTTACAACGATTCAATGTCAGTATGAAGACAAAGCCAGTCAGTGTACCTTTGGGAACCCATTTGAAACTTTCAGCTGGTCTTTCGCTAAAGTCAGTTGAAGATAGAGAGTTGATGTCGAAGACTCCTTATGCAAGCACAGTGGGAAGTTTAATGTATGAAAGCACAGTTAGCATGGTTTCTCGATACGTGCATGACCCGGGTCCGGGTCATTAGGATGCTGTGAGGTGGATATTGAGGTACATTCGAGGTACTCTTAATGTTGGTTTAATGTTTGAGCGGGATACTAGTGGTGGGCAGTTATGCATTGGATATGTAGATTCTGACTATGCTGGAGATTTGGACAAGCGTCGATCGACAACAGGGTATGTGTTCACTTTGACCCGTGCGCCGGTGTGTTGGAGATGTATCTTGTAGTCTACAGTTGCTTTGTCGACGACAGAGGCAGAGTATATGGAGATTACAGGGGTTGTTAAGGAGGCAATATGGCTTTAAGGACTTTTGGATGACCTTGGTGTTTCGTAGCGGTCTGCCACCATTCATTATGATAGCATGAGTGTTATCTATTTGGTGAAGAATCAACTTTTCCATACAAAGACGAAGCACATTGACGTTCACTATCACTTCGTCTGGTATGTTCTTGAAGATGGGAATGTTGAGCTTGTGAAGGTCCACACCAAAGACAACCCAACAGATATGCTCACGAAGGTGGTCCCTAGCAGCAAGTTTGATCACTGTAAAAACTTGTTGTAGATTTGTGCTTGTTGAGGCCTGTTAAGGACATTTGGAGGAACTACGGACGGCTTGATCCCTTGGGAGAAAAGGTACATAGGCAACCATATTGGTGCAGCCGGATTTGGAGAGACGACACATTAGTGCTCTTGTTGGTGTCGGCTCAGTTTTGGGAACACTTCGCCGAGGTGAAGAATTGTTGAACGAGACTTCGTGAAAAATTCTCTCTGGTCGGCCGACTGATCAACATAAGCAGTCGACCGAAAATCATGCACAGCAGTAGGTGGAAAATTCTCTCTGGTCGGTCAACCGAACATATGTATCGGTCGACCGATCAACGAGAAAATAGTTTCCTATTCTATTTTGGATTTAGGGTTTATATATTAGAAGGGCGTGGCTGATGTGAATATAAGTGTTTTTTAGAGCTGATTGAGCACTTTGAGAGGGAGATTCTTTGAATGTGAGTGAAATCTTGTTGGTAAGGGTTAGTTTGATTGTTTGAGAGTTGTAACCCATTGTATTTCTCCTCCATAAAGTGAAATCTCCCCATCCTCTTCCTGTTGACGTAGGCAACTTGCCGAACCACATAATTCTCTGTGTTTGCGAATGATCTTAGCTGTTTATATTGTGGATTGTGCTCGTTGTGTTCTTTGTGCATTGCTTACCGACATGTTGTGGATTGAGTCCGTTTCCGTTGAGTGTAACAGTTGCTTGTGGAGAGAATAAGTGGCTGGAGTTCCCAGATGTTGGTGCCTTTGATGAGGCAATATTGACGGCGGTCTTGGCGCCGGTTCTTGAAGATTATGAGGGATCAAAGAGGAAGAAGGAGAGGAATCCGGCAAACATGGGGAAGAGGTTGAGGATATTGCACTTGCTATAAATTCTCCTAAAGCAGAGGTCTTGGCTTGAACTTGGGATGATGGAATTTGTTTTAGTTAGAGCAGCTTGAGAAGCAAGTAAAACTGTAGGAGGAGAATATGAGGATTGAGAGAGGAAGGAGATGATCTTTTTCTCCATTGCGTCTTATTTGTTTTAGTGGCATGGGATAGAGAGAGCTCCCAATTGAGGGAGAGGGTGAATGGATTTGTTAACTTAATTGCTAATAAATCATCCCAATTTTATTTACTTGTTTCTTAAACTTCTAGTTGCAGTTATTTTCCCTATGATTTGCTTTTGCTGCACACTGGTTTAAAATTTGGAGGGAACTAAAATTTTTCCCTCCAAAACTCATTTCAAATCATCACAGTGACATCATGAAAAAAGAAAGAGAGAGAGAGAGGAAGGGTATTATGGTCTTCATATGTTTTAAACTCTTGGGTTTTGTGTTTTGAGGCTCACAGAATTGTGGTTTTGCTTTTAGGGGTTTTGGGAGTGTTGAAAAAGTTTTGAGTGGGGGAAGAATAGTTGTTATTTTGGGGGATAGAAGCAATTTTCCCAACTTTGAAATTACAATAACAAATATAATGACTAATATACACGTTGAGCCTTCTATGTACTACATATGATCATGAAGTCACCTTTTAGCACTTTTTTAAAGTTATTTTATATGTATTATTTACAAGGAGAAATGTAATCATTATGTCTCCACATGTTGAATCACCAATCTCTATACGTTGAATCAGTAATCAAACAAATAGCCATCCAATCTCTTTAAGTTGAATCAGTATATCTCTATACTTGAATCAGTAATCAAACAAATATCCATCCATTTTCCTTGGAAATATTGAGCCGTCACAGTGAATCTTATCATACTACAAGCATCCAGTTTAGCCTTCTCACCCGTTATGGAACGCAAGTACACAACACAGCAGATTCTACCATACCAATTAACTTCAATTTTATTCTTTTTGCTAATCAAGAGTTTCATCATTCACAATACCAACTCCATTCGAGCAATCATACGTCTATTTATCAGTAGCTGAAGAATATCAGCATGTCTCTTTATTTCTACAAATAGGTGTATGTTTCAGTTTCTAATAAGCCAGATTCAACATAATACTTCAACTATCCAAACACTTGTTCATTTTGCTTTCTTGGACATTTCGTATAGATAACTGAGCCCCACCACAACGGCAGCAACTGCAACTCCAACAGCACTCTGAGCTAAAATCACCCCAGCCTTCACATCACATTTGCTTGCTGAGCCAGCACGACGGGGAGTAAAACCCAGTTCAGAAAGCTTCTTGTGTGATTCTGCATAGTCTCTGAAGAAGGCTTCCTCATCCTGCAAATTCCAAAATATTACCACGAATAACAAAAAGGTTTTTCGATAGGGGTTAATTGTGGAGAGACCACCTATAATTATCACCCAACATCGGCGACCCCCTGTACTCTCATTGGTGCGGATAGAACCCCTGTACTCAGTGCAAATAGACCCCCTGAGGGAATTTTTGTCAACTCTTAAACGAGGGGGAAAAAAAGTTCGTTCAGGGGTTTATCCGCACCAACACAGAACTACAGGGGGCCTATCCGCAATTGGTCTATAGCGCATAGGGTCTATCCTCAATTAACCCTTTTCGATATTAGTTCCTTAGATATTTAATATCTTGAAATTACTCCCTCAAATCACTTAAATTGGATTTTAATCCCTAACCCCTATATCTTTTTTCGTGACAACCTGAGTCCTATAACTTGTTACTGTTATTCTTGATTTAAGGGATTAATTTGAAAAACTTAAAAGAATTGAGGGACCTAATAACTATTTCAATGATTTGAGGGACTCATTTTGAAACAGTTCAATAGGAATTGAGGGATCTAATGGCAATTTCAATGAATTGAGAAACTAATTTGAAAATATATTAAAGATTTACCTTTTAAGGGACCGATATCTAAAAATCCCACATAAAATGTTTGCGTAAAGAACAAATGTTACTAATGATTTATAAGAATTACAGAAATTTCTCCTGAGTTTTTAAAACTGATACTTATCCTACCTTTCATTGCTCTTCAATATAATAACTTTAAGCATGTTTTATGGAAGTATGGATTATCATATCATATGATCACAACTTTTGCATCCATGTTAAGTTTGTATAAATTGAAACAAATAGTACAAACTGTCACTTTTGAAACTTCAAGGGGATTTACCGTGAATCCTATAAAATTTAGGGCTTTTCCTTTAAGCTACCCCAATTTTTTTCTGAAGGAAATGAAAATAAAACATAAAATTATACACAATGCATAGCTTGGCAGTTGGTATTGTTACCTTAGCATACAGCTCGACATAATGTCTGAAGACAGGATCCTCAAGTAAAGTCTTATCAGTAGGGAGCTTCAGAAGGCCCTCAGATTCATTCTTCAACAATTCTCTGAGAAATTCAAAGGTTTAAGCATATGATTTTTAAATGCAATAAGATTCAATCAAATTTAGTACGGCACGCATTGGTCTTACACAAAGTAGGAATTGTCAAATTTGAGAGGATCTTTGGTCCAGGAACCATCAAATCCTGACCTCTCAGGATGAGCTTTTCCCTAAATTCTCAAAATAAAACAGTAAAGATTTTGGTATCTTAAGAGTGAATTGGTTTGAATATGTTGTGAATATTGATACCAGAGTGTGGCCACCAGATAACGCCACAATATCCTTGTCTGAGAGGCCCATACGGTAGAAAACATCCCTCAGATGTTGATGGCCTAAAACAAAATATAAAATATACAAGCTGATAGTGCTCTTCTATAAAATCACTATGCTTATGATAAATATTAGATAGTTATGTGCATGCAGATGAATCTCCACAATAAAAATCAAAGATCACGTGTATAAACACTATATAAACGTCCCTTTCAAAAAATTACAAAAATGCATCAATACTATGTGTATGTTTTATGCAGTTGTCCACAATATCCCATATGCATATGGTTTCATTCACGAATTGGATACCGGATGGATATTTGTGCAAGCAAGAGAGAGAGAGAGAGAGGAACGAAATAGCATACGAGCTAACTATAAGCACCTTTTTATGGAATTTAAGTACATGAAATAGCCATAAGACATGTATTAATACCTGGCTAGGAGCAAGCAGAAGATACCAAATGGTATACCAAATGGTAGGGTACTTTTCAGCACAACCTGTTTTAGTTAATAAATTAAATGGAGCTAGTACCAATTTGTTTGGTGGGTTTGTTAAGATAGATTGTGTAGTTGTACTTGTCCATATTTTTCGCTAGGCAACAATTGTTAAGAAAATAGGAATATACATTTCCCTAAGGGCAGAGAAATAATTTGGGAAAGAAGGAAATATCTCAAAAGTAGAAACCTACTGACAATCAAGTGGAGGGTAGACTCATGGCTCTACATATGATTTGAGGATATAGAAGCAAATAGCAAAATTTGGGAAAAAATTTTTTTTTTAAAAAGGATGCGGGAATATATATAATATATATATATATATATATATATATATATATATATATATATATATATATATATATAATATATATATATATATTATATATATATATATATATATCAAATTGTAGTATGTCAATCATCAGAAGAAGAAAAAATACAGTAGAGCAACCACCAATTTATATGTGGTTGTCACCTTAGGGCTTTCCGGGGATACTTAATCAACAATTTAGTATCCGCTTATAAGCATAAAATGAAATCGAGAGCACCCAAAATTAATATAGAATCTCATTTGCATGGACATGACATGGAAGCAACCTTGTCTTATCTTGCGAGTGTCGGTGGAGGACCTGTTATACACAATCTTCATCAGTGGTTAGTCGCTTGTAGCATTTTATCTTATGCCCAAGAGAACTCTAGAAGACATTTACTTAAACGGTCAACATCAAGTTGCATCTAGCAGAAAAAGTTCTTTAGTGGACATTTTTCCAACAGAACATATGATATCGAAGAAGCAATCTACAAACCATACATTTAATTGAGATTTGTTGGGCAATATTTCCAGAATAGAAAAAATAGAAAGTGCAAGGAAATGTCATTACCTACTACAACAGACACAAAGGCATCTATGTTGCATGAACACTTCACCGTGAAGGTGTAGCATACCCAATACCCCTTGGACACTTCTTGAATATATATGCACACATTTATTCAAACGTGTGCTTAATAATATAATAGATGTTCTAATTTAAAACATTTGCCATACAATTTTTGAACATATATCCAACACTGCACGTCCACTTTCTGAACGACAAGGGTCGGGTTCATTTCATCACATATTCAGTTCAGAATTATGATTTTCGAGGGCCGTATGTGTATCTAGTGCGAAGACGAATTGTACTCCAATTTATAATATACATAATGAAACAAACATAAACGTCATATGAATTTTGATTCTCATACTATGTGATTGAAAAACAATATTGTCTCATGTAAATTATTAATTTCAACATATATGTGTGTGTTCCTGTACCCTATATTTTACAAATTTTCTGTGTCTCGTGCCCGAATACGTACCCGTACCCTTACCCTCTGAACTGTTGTGCGCAGCGGAAATTTCGGCAGCACTTCGGCAGCACAACAAGAGAGATTAGATCGATAAGAATTCTCGTTTCTCAAAGGAAATAAGAATCTGAAGCGGATATCTCATCAAAGTGAGATACCGGCTCTTCCTCTCATCAGTTCTAGGACTGACCTGTCGAGGGATCCTACAAGCTAATACAAATCACGACAAGAACACAAATTTTACGTGGTTCGGCAACTAGCCTACGTCCACGGGGCAAGGAGGGGGGAGATCTACTATTAGAGGGAGAGATACAACTAGGGTTTACAATCTCACAAACCCTAAACCCTCTCAAACAAACTCTCAAATCCCTCTTACAAAATCTCTCTCAAAAGAAACAAAAAAGGACTGCACTTTCTCTCTCCCGCAGCCGCTGAAGCAAATCCCAGACTTGCACTGTAGCCGCACAAGAGAAACCGAAAAAATTCCTGCCTTGCTCCTCTGCACACTTTTTCAGCCGTAAAAATCAATCCCCAGCTCTCTGCACAAAACCCTAGGGACAATTATTGTTCCTTTATATAGCCTGCAGTCGGGTGGGCCGGCTTCTCCTTTGTTCACGCGGAAACAACCACAGGCCGGCTTCTCCTTTGTTCACGCGGAAACAACCACACATGGGTGGGTCCCATGTCCCCCATATCACAATTCTCCACCTCGGTGAAGTTTTCTCAAAACTGAGCCGACACCAAAGCAACCAAATGTCCCACTTGTTGTGACCAGTACGAACGCAATCCACAACAAGTCGAGAATCCTAACGAGAGTCCAAACAATCTCACCCCCATCAAAATCAACTAATCCAAACCAGCTGCATCTGAAAGACTGCCTACGTATCCTCTTGCTCAAGGAATCAAGCCGAACGTAGTTCACCCAAATGGGTGGGTGAGATTGTTTGGACAACAAGAGAGATTAGATCGATAAGAATTCTCGTTTCTCAAAGGAAATAAGAATCTGAAGCGGATATCTCATCAAAGTGAGATACCGGCTCTTCCTCTCATCAGTTCTAGGACTGACCTGTCGAGGGATCCTACAAGCTATTACAAATCACGACAAGAACATAAATTTTACGTGGTTCGGCAACTAGCCTACGTCCACGGGGCAAGGAGGGGGAGATCTACTATTAGAGGGAGAGATACAACTAGGGTTTACAATCTCACATGAACAATATCATAACAGGAAAGAAACAAACAAAAACATAATAGGATCAAATGCAATGGTAAACCTTGTTTGGCATCCGGAAGACGCCCTTCTTTAGGACAGACAGAAGAATCCTGAACAAGAAGGAAAACACTTAAATTAGTATATTATATCCAATATGATCTTCAGAAATTTGCAAAGAAATGTCTGCTAACATACCCTCCTTCCAGGAACGAAATCAATAGTCGGTCCTCCCGTAACCTCTACAGCAACAACTCCAGCAAGCTGGAATAAAATGATGTTCAAAATCAGAGAAAAAACATACTTGCATAATCAGGATTAATATTCACAACAACAACCTCTTTCTATCAACATCATTTTAACTTTTTCACGGATATCAAGTTAACTGTTACGTTACGCAATGTCAGGATTGATGTTGACGTCTACAACCACATTATATCAACATCATTTTAGCTTTTTCACGGCTATCCAGAAGACAGTTATATATACGATATAGTTAAGCATTGGAAAAGAATCACACGTGGAAGAGAGTTCAAAATCTAAACCATACGTTGGCTATAATTTTAAATCAAATTTTCATGAAATTTTTAATTGATATTATAAAACCCGTTCAAAGGTCCTCCCTGACATGAGCAGGGAAAAAACAAATGATTTAGTGAGCTTGAATCAGTAATGACCAACACAGTAGACAAGCAGATTTAAAATGTGACATCAACCTTCACTACAATTATTAATCAACGAATATAAGGTAAGTACTCTGCTTGAATCATCATATCACATCCACTGTGAGACTTTTACATAATATACATGGTGATGTCACATGCCCAACTTTTTTAAAAGTGAATGAAGAAAAAGAAAAAGAACAACATTAATGAAGCAAATGATCAAAGGCAACATTAAGTAATGAACAGATAACGTGGAGGAAGATCTAGCCCAACGAGCCTGCTCAGCACAATTCAATACTAACTCTTAATTGTGTGGAAAATAGGCTGTAGCGAGATGCAAGCAGAATTTAAACCCTTGCCCTCTAGGCTCTAGCACACTGCTAAACGGCTATATCATTATGCTACAATGGCACTAGCCATGGCTCAAATCTGACAGAGAGTCAGCAACAAGTATGGCATAGGAACCTAATACTTAAACATTTAGAAGCCTATGCAGGTCCAACTTGAGAACAGGAGAGTGCTAAGAAAATCTTTAAATGTTATCCGTAGGAAAAGCTTAATCAGTTCAATACTATGTTTGCATAGATTTAGGAACCTGTTGCAAAGGAAAAGCATCAACTCTTTCGGACTAGTGAAGTGAAAATGTCTAGCTCTATCAATTTAATGATGTTTCATGTTTCTTGTTATCATAAAAACTAAATCTGTCCATAATGTTTTACCTAAATATATATCAATTAGGAATCATACTTCAAATCTCTTACACCCAATGAACTGGAAAAAAAAAAGACAGTTAACAAGTGTTCAATTCATCCTAAAGTTTTGATTATGCTAAAGGAATTTACTGTTCTAACCCATTTTTCTTGAATTTATATAGAAGCTACCAGTTACATTTTTTTTTTGTGTGACCGTCTTTATCTGTGCATCAAGAGGTGAATCCAATTCAACAATTATCTAACCCTTCTTTACATTTCCAGTCTAAAGGACTGGTCTTACATGATTATTGCAAGTCCGTCTCTGTCCATAGTTTCTTTGGCAACCATATTACATCTTTTCTAGAACCTTCACTATGTACCCAACCACGTTTACAAGAAATAACAAAATCTTCTCACATCATCACCTTTAAGAGCATATCCCATGACTAAACTACCTCTTTGAAGAGCAAGGCTCTGAAAATGGAAGGATCCATTAAACCTCATTGCATTAAATTCTCAGAGCACAGGAACCAGTTGTTAGATGAGGGACAATAGAATTAGAGTAAAGGAAGAGTGTAAGTGCACGTTTTTTTTCCTGGTGGGTGGGTTTTTTTTTTGGTTGGGGGGGGGGGGGTGGGGGTGGGGGGTTCTGTTAAACTATGGGCAATTGCGCACTATGTTTGATGTACTTCCGTCTTACTCCTATTATATCCTGTCATATAATCAAGCATTCAATTATCATTAATTCATCAAAGTGTTTCCGTCATTCTCATCGTCTTATAATCCTGAATCCCGATGATACTTCAAAACTCATCATTGAAGTCATTTTCTTATGTTGCACATGCCCTAAAATGGTTATGCTTGTGTAACCACTTACCACTATTGGTCATGACCACTAAGCTACAACTGTACATTACAATATCGTGCCTCCTAGTTCGCACATAAAGTTGTACATAAACTATAAAGTAATGTAGCAATATTTCAAAGTCTTAGTGCATAATACTAAAGACATAGAACTTCATTTATCTATGGTCAAAACTTTCATGAGATCCATTTTATCATAAACTATAGAATAGATGTGTAGCTAAATATGCTTGCTTACATAAAGAAAACTTCAGTACCTCAACTATGCTTTGTTTACATAAAGAAAACTTCAATATGTCACTGCATTTTTATTCATCTATTTGGGAGGGTAAAAATAGAAAAAGAATATTATACAAGATAGATTTGAGAATACACTGCAAACGTTTAATAAATAGAGAAATGTTCAATATTAGCTATATGCTAGTTCGTTGATGAGTAGTAATGAATTTTGAGTGTAAAATAATTACGACAAACTCCCTTCATTGAGATGATAAACTCAACCAATAACATCAACTATCTTAACTATCCTGCCATCAATGGCTTTTGACTAATGTTTTTTGTTATAACATTTTTCATCATATGAATGTTTGATGTTTATTTCATTCTTAAAGTATATCTCATTGACCCTACTCAACAGAATATGATAGGCTCCCATAGTTATAACATGAACAGTTAACTCTTTTTCTTAAGGTATATGCATTCTTGAAAAGCAACATAGCTTTCAACCATGTATATAAAATTGAGAAAGTTAAAGATCCAAATACCTGATAAAGATCTGCATATGTAATCTTAGGATGTCTTGCCTTAATTGGCTCTGTTATCAGAAGAGAACACAGTATCAGCAACCATGCATTGACTTCAATAGGTTTATTGCATTGCACAAACATGTAGTTGAAAAAAATATTTAATGAATCATGTAACTACACTTCAAGATCCAGACGAGAACTAAACAGGCATATCTATTAAAGATTCACAAAATAATGAAAAATCAGACAAAGAAGCACATGATTTCAAAATTTAATATATTCTCACTCATAAAACGGTCCTAACAACCATGAACAAAGGACACGGGCATGACATGGATTTATACGGGACAAAGGAATACTTAAAAAGGCAGTACATGGAAGCACGAAATATAATACTAAAAAACTTCATAATGATAATAAAGAAAAAGTTCATAGAGACATGCATATATAGTCATTTCTATGCATTCAGGAGCCCAGAGTCCAGACAACAATTTCTAATATTATAAGCATACGATGAGTGCAAAAAGTAAATGATGCTAAAAACGTTAACCTCCATATTTTATGAATTTGCAAAAATAACAGGCGTTGATTCTTTATTGTATATAAAAACCAATCGAAGTTATAAATGAATCAACATTTCTTTTCTACTGAACTATAGCATATATGTGTATAAACAAAAGTAAATAAATATCTAAAAAAATATAATGTGAACAAAGAAGTGTATAGCTAACATGACATCAGTACAAAAGTGTACAATAAGTCTCTCAAGTTAAAACATGAATTAAGATTGAGGACAAACTAGAGAAGTGTTGCATGTATACATGAAGTTCCCAAGAAAGTCTTGGCGTCTGACAAAGGTGGCTTCTTCACAATAGAAGAATTTGTGCAATGTAAGAACAGTCACAGGTAGATCATATCCATAAACATATTTGAGTTCCAAATTACGATGTTGAAATAGCAAGTGAAACATTTACAAGTTATTCTGAACTTTTTGTAATTATATACATGAAATACCTTAGACGAAAATAACAAGTCTCTGTAGTACTAAATGCAAAGTAACTTGACTCCATCACCATTAAGTATTTAAATAATTTATAAAAAAAAATACCTAATACCTTTTAATAGTGATTTCTTTCTTTTCTGCTTGTCGCGAAGGAAAAAAAAAGCAACATGCAAAAGACATATCTATCCATGAGGACAAAAAGCTCAAAGATACACGGATTGATGGAATAGCTTACCTAAAAGATCAATAGCTATCTTCAAGCCAGCATTTGCACCATGAGTATATTCTTCTTCCAACCTAATAGAGCCATTTGGGCCACCAGTTTTTGTGTTTACATCATAAGTGCCAGCATCATGCCATCTGCAAGAAAAAAAAACAGAAACTCTCTTTAGAATCCTGTTGAATTTAAAGAAGTATCGTTTAGAATTAAAAAGGATTGGCAATTCCAATTGTTTAAAAATATAGGAATCAAGAATTTTCCTAGAGAAATCTAGACAGAAACAGTGTCTCTACAAAAGAGATCCATATTGTAATCATATATAAACAGAAATCATGATAATGTTGAGAAGCTTAAGCAGATAAGAAATAGTATTATTTGCAGCCCAACCATCATGCTCCATGATAGACTTCTTTTTGAAACATGAATTTAAAACAAAGTATGCATCAATTGTAGATTTTGACCCCTGTTCTCCAATCAGGAGGCTCCAACATGAAACAAACCAGGTAGCTATGTTCAGACAACTAGGGTAACTCAGGCTGCAATTTATATCATCATGAGTATACTCAGAAATTGTGTATGACTGGATACACTGCACGATTGACAGTCATTTGCTTTTAAAAGCTTGCCGAAGGGCACGAACGTAATGGTTGAAGAAATGATGTAGAACACTTAGCAGACACGTTTATGTCAAAGTGGGACAGTCGCAAGCCCAAATGCGGGCCTGGTCGAAGAAAATAACTTGTTTCGAAGAAACGGCCGTAACTTTCAAACCGTACGTCGGAATTGGACGAATTATATATGAAAATCGACTATCTCGACGAGACAGAGCCATCTAAACCCACCCCTTCGGGTTCGGTTTGCGTTCTCAGTTTCGCCAAATTCCTTACGGTTTGAGAGATATTTGCATTTTTATCCGTTTTTTACTATTTTTAGTAATATTTTAGGAGTCTGTTTTGTTTAGGAAACAAATCCGATTTGATCTCAGATTTGACCGGAGGACTTTCCTAATCATAAGGAGTCTTTTTAGGAGTTTTAATGTTTTAGGAATTCTTTATCATTTTTGGTAAGTTGAGAGTCCTTGTAGGAATTAGAGTCCTTGTAGGAGTCTTATTTCTTTTTCTATTTAAAAAGAGTCTTGTAAGCCCTAGAGATATAACTTTTCATCAATAAAATTTCTCTTTTTTTATATTTTCTTCGTGGATTCGAAGTTCTTCGTGGATTCGAAGATCGTTCTTTGTGGATTCAGAGAACACCCTTGGTGGATTCCGAGGTTATCACTTCCGCGCTGCGTCAATTGGTATCAAGCCATCCGAAACTATATAAACATTCACAAATCTCATATTTTAACTATTTAAGTGGGAGCTAAAAATCTGTCATTATTGTCACCCTTGACATCATAGCATCATTAAACGATCTTCCCATAAAGCAAGTTCATCTCAAGGTGAGACGTCCTGAATTGACAGTAAACTTCATGCAGTTCTCTCATGGAAAGAAATTCCAGTTTCATTAATGGTTTTCTAGCCCACCAAAGCCAGCAAAATAAAAGTATAGCCCTTTTGATCTACATACTAGCAAAACATGATCATTGCCTATTCCATTTCCCATGTCTTAGTACTAGAATTAAATAAATTTAAGCTAGCATCATATGACCCACTCTCTTAACATTATGTAACAAGCAACCAATTCCCAATACTCAAACACCAACAACATTGACCAAGTACCCAAAATTTGTTGGGATAATCTAGACAAATGAAATTGAGAGAATAGTCTAAAGTGGGCTGAGATCCCTTTGTTAAACATAATAAACTAACCCCAACGAATTCAATGATAGTCAAGTAGCACAGTCAAGCGAAAGATCAAACAAAAGTGAGTAAAAATATCCAGCCAGCACTAAATTTTAACTAGCAGCAATACAGTTAAATCGAATATCCATAGTTTACACATAATTTCAGAAACCCAATTCACCAAATTGCAAATCAAACCCAAAAAATAATAATTTATTTTATTCAACCAAAATTCAAGCACACCCAACTAAAAGCAAGCAATACTAACAAGAAACAAAGGGTTCAAATAAAAATTTCCAAACCAACTACTCACGCGAGACGAAGCATGATGGGTGCACAGTTCTTGCTGGAGATGAGAGCTCGAAGGTCCCTGCGAGCCTTCTCGATCTCCTTCAGGTACTCGGCATCAACAACTGGAGCTGCCATTTTTTGTTGTTGTTGTTGTTGTTAGAGATGAGAGAGGAGAGAGAATGGGTATTGGGTTTTATAAGGTGGAGAAGCCAGAGAGAGAATGAGGTGAGATTTTGGGAAGGAATTTGGATTTTCTTTTGGAGGCGTCGAGAAGAGAAAGGAAGGGATCCTTTTGCCTTTTGTTTGTAGGTGAAGATAATGCTTTTGTTTCTATTGGCTGCTCACCCGCTGGCCCTTTTCCCTGATAATCTACTGTACTGCGATACGACCACACCATATTTTGACGTCATCTCTATGGGGGTGGTTAAGGGGCTGTTTGGTTGTTGTTGGTAAAGTTGTGTATTTATGACACAACTTAGAAAGTTGTTGTCCATCTCATCAATTTTACTTTTATACTTTTCTTTGTTTATTTTTTATTCCATTGGAATCATAAATTGCTTGTTTGGTTTGAAAATGTAACTTTAATTATTTGTTTGGAAAGTGTAAAAAGTGGTCCCTACTCAAATGATCATATTGGTTGGAATTATTTTTTATTATTTTTTCCTGACTTCAATGTCAGCTTTCTCCTAAAATCATGTCTTTTTTTATGAAATCACTTTACAAGCCACGTCAGCATATGAAATCACTTTACACTATTTTCACAACTACAAACAAACAATTAAAAGTGATGAAAGCTGACATTGGGACCCACTTTTTTACACTTTCCATCATTTTACATGGTAAAAACATACAACCAATGGTTGTTGTTGGTAAAGTTGTGTATTTATGACACAACTTGGAAAGTTGTTGTCCACCTCATCAATTTACTTTTATACTTTTTCTTTGTTTGTTTTTTATTCCATTTGAATCATAAATTGCTTGTTTGGTTTGTAAATGTAACTTTAATTGTTTGTTTGGAAAGTGTAAAAAGTGGCCCCTACTCAAATGATCATATTGGTTGGAATTATTTTTTATTATTTTTTCCTGACTTCAATGTCAGCTTTCTCCTAAAATCATGTCTTTTTTTATGAAATCACTTTACAAGCCACATCAGCATATGAAATCACTTTACACTATTTTCACAACTACAAACAAACAATTAAAAATGATGAAAGCTGACATTGGGACCCATTTTTTTACACTTTCTATCATTTTACACGGTAAAAACATACAACTAAACAGCCCCTAAAGGATCGAGTGCGAATACCAAGGCGTTCCTATTTGTCTTTGTTTAAAATTATCAAATTCTAATACGAACTCTAATATTCATATAAATAGTTTTTTAAACTCGAATTCGTATACTTGGTATTTTATAAATATTCAGGAATACTTATCGAATATCAAAGTATATTTATTTCACTAAAGAATTTGATTTTTAAGTAATCATAACTAAAAATTATTCCTTTATGATATATGATGTATATATATTTAAATCAAAATTTTCATCAGAAAATAAACTTTAAGATTATTTAACTCTTAAAATTAGTACACAAAACTTAAGTAGAAATGATAAGTGGGTTAAAAATATGACATCATATGTACAAATAATAAGTGATCAAATTTTAAACGAATATTTAATAAACAAACGAATCGAATATACATCTGGTTAAATTCTATTCATTAGTAAACCTGAATACCAAAAAATATTTGTTTAGTGGTAAATGAACTACCGAATCGAATATGGCCGAATAGTTAGTCGAATATTTATCGAACTATTTATTAAATATTTAGTTCATTTCCACCCTTAGCCATCTCTATCAAATCTGAAGTTTCCAGCAAAATATATGAGCTTAATGGCACATAAGTAACGTATATTTCCTGCTTGTCGCACTTAAAAAATAATAATAATTGTTGCACTTAAATATTGGAGGGTTATATTTTGCTGGAAAAAAAATGCTATAGAGTTTCTACTGTTATAATCTAATTAACATCATAACTTTCAAGCTAAAAGATAAAAATATCTCTCTCCAAAATTAAACCCACAACAATTGAAAAACACTTTAACCCACTTTTCTTAGTTCACCCCCAATTTTTACCGCAACTTAAAAATCAACGTTCAAGACTATCCTAAAATTAACCCACAAATTCAATTTTGAAAGTGCTAATGCAGTGAAATCTGAAGAAATTGGTATGGACTTGGATCTTGTAAGGTAACCTCTCCACTGCCTTGATTTAAAATGTGAAATTTGAAATAAATGTGTGTTTTGTATTGAATTGAAAAGTTTTTTCGGGTTTGATGCTAAATAACAGGAACCTCTGTTGACCAATTTCATTGACTTGATTTGTTTCTCTATCTTGAGGAGAAACAGGAGATAGATCTTGGTTAAAATGAAAAGAGGGATGAAAAAGAGTTGAGAGGTCTTCATTATAAATTAGAAGCAACTAAAAAGGATGAACTCCTAACCTAGACACATGAAACTTACATGAAAATCTAATAGAGAATATTCCCTCTTTTATGTAATTGAGGGTACAAACGTGCAACTTTTAGAAATAAAATAGGTCTTTTGCAGCAAAAAAAAAAACTTACTGTATTTATGGGCACAAGTGCAAAATATATGGTATTTAAGTGCAATTAAGCCAAATATATAAACTCATTGTATAAATTTAAAAAATAGGATTTTTGACATAGTTCACCTCCAAATCTTTACTAATTCTAATTAGATCATTAAATCTTCATATTTCTAAACCACACCCAAAGTCTATTTAGTAGTTTTAAATAAGACTAGTATGGTGGACATGCGTTGCACGTGTATTTATTTTTATGTTTATCTTTTGTGATGATACTTTTTATGTGTCTGAACTATCCATCTAATTGGTCATCATGAGTAATTTTAGAAATCTCAAATACAAAAAAGCACCAACCACTTGATGTTTGCTAAGAAAAATTACAGAGATAGCAAGTATAATGGATAATCATGATGCTCGTTTATAGATATATCTATGCTTAAGAAGTTCCCTTTTGAAGATATTTTTACACATGCATTTAATATGGTTAAAAAAATAATCGGTCAATCATTTTATGCATGAGAGAGGCCTTCAAACATGTTAGTTTCAACTCAATGTTAAGTTGAATTAGCACACAAATCTTCTAGTCCGGTGATTAATAAATTGATATTTTTATATGCGTAATTAGTGTTATGAACGAAAATCACCGAATACTTTCTGACACATCAATCTTTAAAATTTTTGAGAATGCATGAGATATGATGTTGTTTATTCTACCGATTTTCAATGGTCTCCTTGCGTTGACGGTTCTTGTAACCTCTATAAGTTTTAATATCAGTGCTTTTGTTAATTGCTAAATATTTATTAGTGTTGGTAACTACCTAGGATTAAAATTATTATCATTAATTCTAAGAAATTCAATGAAATAATTTGTAGTTTTATGCTAATTTTTAACTTAAATTCTAAAATCTTGCCCTTTTTTAGATAGAGAATGACTTTTATAGGCCTGCAATTCAAAGGATCCTTAGCTGGAATAAAATATAAGGAATAAGCCTTAGAGTCAAAATTAGACCAATTTCACATAACACCATATCATTTGGCCCATTTTAAAATAAACCTTCAGAACTTTAAAAATATCAGTCAGTTGGCCCCTTCACTTTTGGGCAATTTTCACAAAGATCAAAATGTTTGCCCTTTTTTTTCTCCATTTTAGTGGTATAGCCCCTGATTTTTTTTTTCAATATATCCACCTAACTTCCAACAATTATTTGCACAAAAGCCTCTAAACAATTATAATATGAAAAGTGTATAATACACAATCAATTATGACAACACTATGTAAAACAACACTATGTATTCCAGTCCACATGAAACTAATTAGAGGAACTGCGTGTTACCCATTGAAGAGTATACATACACAGAGTCAATCAGAACAGAATTACCTCACTACAACAAATGCACATTAGCACCACAAAACGTCCAAACAGTAACACTCTCAAAAGAACTCAAAACCCATAATATTTCCATCCTCTTACTACTATGCGCTCCTCTCCCTAGAATCTCAGCCTCCACCAGGTTGGGTACCTCCGACGACATTCACCCCCTTCAAAGAACTCACGCATATATACTAAAACAAATGGTGTCACAAAAACTTCTCTCTTACGGTAGGATATAAATATAAGAGATTATTATCAAAGAAACTTGGAATTTCTTACCCATTATCAAAATATCGTGATCAGTTCATTAAGACTCAAGGAAGTTAGTGGGATAAATACACTACCAATTTCTTGGTATTAAAACTAATGGTGTATTTGGGAGTTTACTAAGGAAAGGGAAGGAAAGGTAAACAACGGGAAGGGAAGGGAAGGGAAGGGAAGAGAATTGTGATATGTTGTTTGGGAGTTGAGTAAGGTGAATGAAGGTGAAAGGAAGTAAATATATGTAAATTTACATAAATAACTTTATACTAATAACACATCAGCCCTTTTATTTGTTTTGATGGGGGTAAGAATGTCATTACACCCCTTTACCCTCCTTTACCCTCCTCTACCGCCCAAATCAGGAGGGAAAGAAAACCAAACAATTTTACCCTCCTTTCCCCTTCCTTCCTCCTCTCTACCCTCCTTAAAAAAACTCCCAAACAAGGTGAAAACCTCATTTCTCTTCCCCTCCCCCTCTCTACCCTTCATCCAAACAGGGCATAAGACTTACCATAGATTTGTAAGCAAATTGACAATCCTCCTCCTCCTCCTCTTCAAACTCTTAAATACAAACAACTCTCTTATATGACCTACGCATCCAATCTTGAAATTAAGTTTTTTTAACAGTTTTCACAAAAATCTCTAGGGGTTTATGATAATCATATTTTATTACAATTTTATACCCTCATTATCTATTTTATATGAATAAATACAGCACTAATAATTGCTTTTATCTTTAATTGCAGGTTAATAAAGAATAAATCCCAAAAATCTCATCTCGCAACAAAAACCCATTGATTAAATGAAGAAATGAATCAAGAAGCCCATTGGAAAATTAAATTTCCAAATTATCCAAGCTCAAAAGAAGAATTAAAGCCCATGAAGCAATAAAGCCAAAGATAGGCTTGGAGTTGAAATTAGTTTAATGGAAAATAGACTTGAGTGTTGCTGGATTTTTAAATGGGCCAAAAATTTGATTTTACCTTGTGCTGCAAATGTTAAAATCAAATGAGCCATGGACCAAACTCTTCATGGGCCAAAAGCTTAACTGCTGCTAGAGAGTTGGATTTGTAAATGAAGCTTTTGG